CCGTACCCGTTCGTGAATCTAAGATACATCAAAACATGCAAAGCCGCCTCCCAGTGCAGTCGCTTCGGCGCGTGCGAATACCTCGCAACGGCACGCACCGCGTTGAGAATATCCGGGCGAGTCTGATTCGCCAGCCACATCAAGTGTCCCACTAGCGACCGGAAAGGCTCGTCGACATCGGGCTCGTCGGCGTCGTACTGCTCAAGCTTCAACCCAACGACCATAGGTGTCTCTTTGTCCGTCGTCACACCGAACTTGGCAACGATCTTCTCCGCTACAGCCTGTTGCGAAATAGTCACCGTCCCCAACACCGTGTCACGAGAAAACCGGCAACCCGCATACCAGCGCAGTTCCCCAAGGTTGGAAATGGGCACATACCGGTTGAGGTCAACACCAAACTGATCGCACCTGCTCTTGAGCCTGATAGAGAAGGTGTCGCTACGTGGATCACAACCACCATGGTGACTACACCGCTCTCGATCAGACGCNTCGCATACCGTCGCAGTTCCCCAAGGTTGGAAATGGGCACATACATACCGGTTGAGGTCAACACCAAACTGATCGCACCTGCTCTTGAGCCTGATAGAGAAGGTGTCGTTACGTGGATCACAACCACCATGGTGACTACACCGCTCTCGATCAGACGCATCACACACGCATCGGCGGCACAAGGCTCGAAACCAAGACTCTTCATTCCACGCATCAAGTGATGATGCCATGTGCGGGACGCCTGCTTCAGACCGTATAGGCTCCGTCTCAACCGCACGACCTTACCGGAAAGCGCACCGCACCCAGGGGGAAGACGAATGAACACAACCTCATCCAGTTCTGATTGGACAAAGGCTTGCTCGGCATCGAAATGGCACAAGTCCCAATCTAACACACAGGCAATGGCGGCTAGCAATCGAATGCTCGTGATGGAAGGACACGGGGAGAAAGTCTCAAAGAAGTCAACACCCTCACGCTGCGCAAACCCACGGGCTACCAACCTAGCCTTAGCACGCACAGCATACCCAAACTCGTCTCTCTTCCATGAAAACACCCACTTGGCGGAGATGACGTTCGTCCCTCGCTGCTATTCCGCCCCGNCAACACACAGGCAATGGCGGCTAGCAATCAAATGCTCGTGATGGAAGGACACGGGGTGAGAGTCTCAAAGAAGTCAATACCCTCACGCTGCGCAAACCCACGGGCTACCAACCTAGCCTTAGCACGCACAGCATACCCAAACTCGTCTCTCTTCCATGAATACACCCACTTGGCGGAGATGACGTTCGTCCCTCGTTGCTATTCCGCCCCGACCTCCTCGAAGGTGCCCACTGCATTCAGCCCGAAAAACTCCTTGCGTTCGGCGTTGGTCCAGATGTGGTGGTGGGGCCCCGCGTGCGCCTCCCCGTATGTCTCAGGCGTCTCCAGGTCGCACACCAGCCCCGTCGGCAGGGCTGGCTCAGCGACGCCCGGTGCAGGAANGCCTCCTCGAAGGTGCCCATTGCATTCACCCCGAAAAGCTCCTTGCGTTCGGCGTTGGTCCAGATGTGGTGGTGGGGTCCCGCGTGCGCCTCCCCGTATGTCTCAGGCGTCTCCAGGTCGCACACCAGCCCCGTCGGCAGGGCTGGCTCAGCGACGCCCGGTGCAGGAAGCTCGGCGATAGACCGCTTGATCTCGTCCTCCGTGGCTAGAAGAGCAAATATCCCCGGCCCCGGCCCATCTCGCTTCGCCCGCGACNTCCTTGCGTTCGGCGTTGGTCCAGATGTGGTGGTGGGGCCCCGCGTGCGCCTCCCCGTATGTCTCAGGCGTCTCCAGGTCGCACACCAGCCCTGTCGGCAGGGCTGTCTCAGCGACGCCCGGTGAAGGAAGCTCGGCGATAGTCCGCTTGATCTCGTCCTCCGTGGCTAGAAGAGCAAATATCCCCGGCCCCGGCCCATCGCGCTTCGCCCGCGACCTCGTCACTGCGGGGGCCGCCGCCGCGGGGGGAACACTCCCACCAGAGATCACCGCCGTCGCCGCTGGAGCTGCCGCCGATGCTGCCGCTCCGGCCGNAGTAAGAGACATGCGGTAGGCCACACCATCGCCATGCAGCATGTCTGTCAATACATTCTATTCGCGTACCCCCCGGAGGCCCCGTGGACAGTATACTCTGCCGAGCACCCCANACCGCCGCCGCGGGGGAACACTGCCACCGGAGGTCGCCACCGTCGCCGCTGGAGCTTGGAGCCTATCGTGTTTGGGTGCGGTAGCTCGTCAGAGGCCGAAAGAGAAAGAAGGTTGACTCAAGACCTTGTTGCTTAGAGAGTAAGACACATGCGGTAGGCCACACCATCGCCATGCAGCATGTCCGTCAATACATTCTATTCGCGTACCCCCCGGAGGCCCCGTGGACAGTATACTCTGCCGAGCACCCCAAACAGAAGAGGTATCGCACCGACCGTTCGAGAAAAGAGCGCTCGGAAATCGATCAAAATATAACAAAACCAAAATAGAGGAGGTTGCTTCCCACACCCGCCCGAAGAAAAAATCAAAGGGTAACGTGTGTGTGTATGCATGGATAAATTTGGCGCCTTCCTGAGGTGCATCGACCACGCACCTACGCCGGGTCGGGCTCAAACTACAGGATAGATTGAGAAAAACAAAAGACTTCCGTGTGTGAAGACGACATCACCAACAACAACTTGGATCAACAACAAAAAATTTCACGTAGTAGATGTTGTTGTTGTTGCTGTTGTTGTTGTTGTTGTTGTTGTTGTTGTTGTTGTTGTTGTTTCTCACATTAGCTCTATTGTCCACAAAAAATGGGGAGCCCGTGGTCTCAAAACCCGGCACATACGACGCCGCGGGGATACAAAACAAAAATCGGGTACAAACCACTCGGAAAAAGAAAACAACTTGATAGAAAGGAAGTAACAGGTACCGCACCGACCGTTCGAGAAAAGAGCCTTCGGAATCCGATCAAAATAAGACAAAAAATAAAAATAATGGAGGACGCTTCCCACACCCGCCCAAAGAAAAAATCAAAGGGTAACGTAGTAGGACCAGGCATAACGCACCAGGGCATGGGAGTAACGGAGCAAACAGGACAAAGAGGCGGCAGATGGGCAGACAGCCAGACGTACAAAACAAAGGCAACAGCAAAGCGAGATCAAGGTACCCAACACAGCAGAGTAGGCAGGGACGTCATGAAAAAAAAGAAACACAGCACAGAGGCCGAAGGCAATGTATGTATCACAGAATGTGGCGTCCTGCAGCAGCGGAGGTGGCGGTGCTGCTGTAGCTCGTAGACTTTGTAGTCTANAGATTGAGAAAAACAAAAGACTTCCGTGTGTGAAGACGACATCACCAACAACAACTTGGATCAACAACAAAAAATTTCACGTAGTAGATGTTGTTGTTGTTGCTGTTGTTGTTGTTGTTGTTGTTGTTGTTGTTGTTGTTGTTGTTTCTCACATTAGCTCTATTGTCCACAAAAAATGGGGAGCCCGTGGTCTCAAAACCCGGCACATACGACGCCGCGGGGATACAAAACAAAAATCGGGTACAAACCACTCGGAAAAAGAAAACAACTTGATAGAAAGGAAGTAACAGGTACCGCACCGACCGTTCGAGAAAAGAGCCTTCGGAATCCGATCAAAATAAGACAAAAAATAAAAATAATGGAGGACGCTTCCCACACCCGCCCAAAGAAAAAATCAAAGGGTAACGTAGTAGGACCAGGCATAACGCACCAGGGCATGGGAGTAACGGAGCAAACAGGACAAAGAGGCGGCAGATGGGCAGACAGCCAGACGTACAAAACAAAGGCAACAGCAAAGCGAGATCAAGGTACCCAACACAGCAGCTTAGGCAGGGACGTCATGAAAAAAAAGAAACACAGCACAGAGGCCGAAGGCAATGTATGTATCACAGAATGTGGCGTCCTGCAGCAGCGGAGGTGGCGGTGCTGCTGTAGCTCGTAGACTTTGTAGTCTACCACAGAGGTTACACTGCTGTCACCGCTCTATCACAGAGGTTGGTCTACACTGCTGTGAGATCGGTANAGAAACACAGCACAGAGGCCGAAGGCAATGTATGTATCACAGAATGTGGCGTCCTGCAGCAGCGGAGGTGGCGGTGCTGCTG